ACGGTAAAGAAAGAGAGAATCGCTAGTCCTAGCAGTATGCAGAACGTGTGTCAGATATGAATTTGGAAATGACTTTGCTTACTATAGTCTCTGTGGCTTAGTGGGGTAGATCATCGGAGCGTGGAATCCGAAGGTTTGAGGTTCGATTCCCCATGGGGACTCAGAATTATTCTTTATCTCACGCTCGTGACGAGACGAAACCTCTTTCTCATTTCTTTGCCGAGCTAAAAACTTGCCATCTTTCTATTCTATTTACAAAATAATAAGGGTTTCAGTAAAATGTTGTTAATGGTGACGTCATCTATGTGTCTATCCTCCCATTTATCATAAATAAGAACCAATCAAAATTCCTGTAGAATCCAGAAGTTACACTTTTATGGTAAGAACGAGAGTTGGAGATGTTAGGATGTGTTCACTAGGGTAAAGTCTCATTCAGAGAACAGTGGCTCCCAAAGCCAGAGCTGATTCCGGTTTTCATGGGATGCTGGTAATTCGCAAGTTATTCCTTGAAACAAAGTCATTTTATCACGGTTCCCTTTCAGTTCGTGGTACCTGTTAAGAGCACAAGGGGTAGAGAGTAGGCCAGATTTCTCCCGGTATTTTTGAGTTTGTTTTCGATCTTCCTTTCAAGGAGAAACGGTGGCTCGAGCGAATAGAGAGAGCGTTGTGAGAGAAAACTGTCTTGTTCAAGAACACCACAAAATGAGCCGGCCTGGGCGTGATGTGAAGCTTTTGAATTTAAGTGTGGGTCGCTAGACAATGATTATTAAAGAGTAGTTATTTTTCTTTTTGTTCTCCAGGCATTTGAATTGGCGACTGGAGACTTTTTATTTGAGCCGCATTCGGGAGAGGACTATTCAAGAGATGAAGGTAACCGTTTTGGGAGCATTTTTCCTTTGTATTTCTTCCTGGCTGGCATAGCAGGCGTCATGACGAAGGGACCTCTTTCGTGCGTGTCTGATCTCTCTCACGCGTGTTTCTTATGTTCTTGCCCAACGCCTGCCATGCTAGCCAGGCGTCGTGCAAGAACGTAAGAAACACGTTTGAGAGAGATCAGACACACACGAAAGAGGTCCCTTCGTCGTGCGTGTTTGGTCTGAGTAACTCGTTTGTGTTGGTCTAAATTTCTCGCGAGATGGTCTAAATTACTCACGCGTTTGTCTAAATTAGTCATGCCCTGTGAAATCGAGCGGGTAAAACGCATGTCATAATTAGTCATGAAGAAAACGGAAGCCTTTTAAAGTCTCGGGTAAACTTAGAAAACGGGTGACTTTCCATTCGCAGATTGATCAAGTGTCGTGAAACCGTTAGCGTAACATATTGCTTTCCGATCGATATTCGTTGGGAAAAAATTCAAACTACCAATGATGAGAAGGGGAAATATCACAAGGAACTAATTAGAACTCAAAGTAAACACAGCAAATTGTCTCAAGCGCTGGAAAACGCTAGTGACCAGACGTGGTTAAATTTAGTTTTGCACCTGATTGGTCGAGAAAGACCG